TCGGCCCGGACCCGGCCCAGCCGCAGACCCTGCAGCACGGCCTCTGGGCAGCTTGCACTTTAAGCCTCAAACGCAGGCTGTTTGCGGGAGCTCCATCACGCCCCACCCCGCACCCTTTCCCCCTTCTGCCAGAATGAGAAATGGAACCCCACTCCACAGGGTCGGCTGGGTCAGGTCCCGGTTCCACACACAGTGAACCTCTGCGCCTCTGTCTTTATTAATAGCGGGAGGAGGGAGCGTGGAAAGGGACCAGCTGAGAGAGTCATGTTTTAGGAAGCACTTGCAAAGTCCTGTCCGAAGCATCCTTCACGCATTAGTTCATTTAATCCTCGCAGCATCCGGATAGGACTTCATGCTCAGATCCCCATTATCACCATCCTCTGTGGAGACGAGCCGGAAAGACTCAGAGAGGTTCAGTAACTGGCCCACAGACACAGAGCTAAAGCGACTGAGGGAGGATTCAAACCCTGTGCAGTAGTGACTGGCACCTGACGGGGATTTATGATAATGCGCAAACCGATGTGCCCGAGAGTTCCTTATATTGTCATGGCCACTGCTTCCCCTCCTCCCGGGGGGTGGGGTGGGGGGGCTGGTGGGGTGGCTGCTCAGCAGCTCGGTGACCCGGAGGGGGCTCCTCACTCCTGCAGACGGCACGCCCCGCATCGTCTCCTCCTTCAGCGAGAAGGTGGTCAACCCGGGGGAGCAGTTCTCGCTGATGTGCGCAGCCAAGGGGGCCCCGCCCCCCACGGTCACCTGGGCCCTGGACGAGGAGCCCATCGTGCGCGACGGCAGCCACCGCACCAACCAGTACACCATGTCCGACGGCACCACCATCAGCCACATGAACGTCACGGGCCCCCAGATCCGGGACGGGGGCGTGTACCGGTGCACCGCGAGGAACTCGGTGGGCAGTGCCGAATACCAGGCTCGAATAAACGTAAGAGGTGCCTGTCTACATTTAAATATCAGAATAGGCTTTGAGTTCCTTTGCCATCTCTGTGGTCCTCATCATTCTTGTGATGACTGGTACTTGTGATTAGTTGTCATTTTGATTTTAGTAGAGGTCTCTTTCCTCTTCTCCCCCTTTTCCCCTGCCCTCCATAGTCCCATTGTCCATCCGTGTGTGTGTGTGTGTGTGTGTGTGTGTGTCTGTGTGTGTCTGTGTGTGTGAGTCTGTGTGTATGTCTGTATATGTCTCTGTGTGTGTGTTTGGCACAGTTCACTGCCTTGGCATTCCCACCCACTCCACTCCTCTTCCCTTCTCCTCTCCTGCAACCAGCCCTGAGCCCGTCCCCATTCCCCCATTCAACCTCTCTGGCCCCAGGTGTATAAGCGCCCAGCCAGCATCCACCAGCCCACCGGGGCCTTGCCAGGACAGGTCAGGGAAGGAACAGAGGGGCCAGGCTTGATCTTTGACAGGGGTGTCCACCAAAGCTGTGTTTGCAGTGCACCCCCACAGAGTGTCCCCCAAATGCTCCAGGAGGTGTGAGCAGCAGGAGCCGTAGCATCCTCTCTTCCCAAACCTCTGTCTGCCTCCTCACTACCCCCCAAGGCTCTAACCATCAAAAGTAGGCGGCTCCAGCTGGGCAGGGTCACCCCACGACAGGCAGCTCCAAGGGGCGGAGTCCTCAGGTTCCCCAAGTCTCAGTTCTCCAAGTCACTGCGATGAGAAATCTCCTCTGGAGCCCTTTGCAGCCTGTGACGTCAGATTGGCCCTCATCTGACCCTGCCAGTGACCTCTGACCCAAGCACAGAGGAGGCCCAAGGGAAGAGGGGGGCTCTGGACCAGGGGTGCCAGTGGCTGCCGTGGGGAGGGGAGGGGCAGGAGGATCCTGCTAAGTCACCTGTGCCAAGCAGGTCTCCAACCCCAGGTGAAGAATATGCCCTCCATTTGGCCGCCCTGCCCTTCCCTCTGAATCTGCAAAGGACGGAGCCACAGGTCCTGGGAGGGTCCCGGGGGCGGCTCCTCGCCTCCTGGGCGGGCAGCCTGAGGCTGGAGCCTCTTATGCCCGTCCACACCCGCTGCACGGTGCCTCCGAGCCCCTCGCACCCCACAGGACCATCTGCCCCGCTGACCAGTGCCGACACTCCCTCCCCGTGTGACCAGAGCACCACCACAGGGCCATCACGTGACCAAGCACATTTACCTGTGGAAAGAAAATGATCAGTTCATCCAATGAAGACCTCCCTACTGCCCTTTAACTAGCATTATGGCAAATTGAATGAAAATGAGCATGTCCACACTTCCATTTTAACCCCAAATCTTCATCGCCTCGGAAATGAGGACTCACCCCCAAGCCTGCCCTTCTCGGAGAGGCTCAGCGCCCTCCTGTGCCCTCCCTCAGGGATGGGCTCTTGCCTGGGCAGGAATGGATGCCTGTCTGTTTGCAACTATTTGAAGCCAGTAACCAAGTCGTGGAGAGACCGTGGGACACCCAGTCCCAGGCTCTGCCTCCAGATGAAGGCCACCCTCCCCTCCCCACCAGCAGTTTCCGCCCCCTGATGGTCTCAGAGCCCAGCACTGAGGACAGCACCCAGGCAGCGGCTGCCCCTGGCTGACCACCGCCCGCCCCTCCTCTCCTCCCTCCTGACCCGCCAGGGCCCCCCAGCATCCGGGCGATGAGGAACATCACGGCCGTCGCCGGGCGGGACACCCTCATCAACTGCAGGGTCATTGGCTACCCCTATTACTCCATCAAGTGGTACAAGGACGCGCTGCTGCTGCCGGACAACCACCGCCAGGTGGTGTTTGAGAACGGCACGCTCAAGCTGACGGACGTGCAGAAGGGCATGGACGAGGGCGAGTACCTGTGCAGTGTCCTCATCCAGCCGCAGCTCTCCATCAGCCAGAGCGTCCACGTGGCCGTCAAAGGTAGGCCCGCCGCCCAGCCATACGGCCGGCCACAGGGGCCGTGGCCTCTGCATCTGAGCGGGTGGGACACCGTGGGGGACAGGGCTCCGCAGGGGGTCTGAGGAGCAGGGCAGGGTGGGCGCCTGCGGGAACACAAGGCCACGGGGACCTCTGCATTCAGGTTTGCTCCATGGGCTGCAGGCAAGGCAGCACTGACCCCAGAGGAGCCAGGGAGAGAGGCCAGGACAGAGATGGCAGGCTCTGTAGGTCCCCGGACGTCAGCACGGAAGGCAGGGCCCACCAGAGGCCGGCAGAAGGCGGCGAGGGGTGGGAGCCAGGAGCGTGCAGGCAGCAGGAGGCAGGTGCAGGGAGCAGGCGCTGGGTCCCAGGCACCATTCTGGGGTACAGGCTGGCTGGCTCTGGACCTGCTGATGCCGCTTGAGGCCTAGGAAGCACCTCCTGGAGCTCAGCCCCCGGCCTGGTACCTGGGAGCCACTGAGTGACTGTCCGTGGGTGAAATGAACGAGTGAGCGAATACCAATGCGCGAATAAATGGCTGCATGAAGAAACGAGGGATGCACCCGGTTCTGGGCTGTGCTTGTGTGTGAAGCTCCCTCCCACATCCACTCCTGGAAGCCGCAGGCCTGGGGATTGTCTGGGCCGGGGTCTGGCTGCTCGGGGGCAGGATGGGGAGGTGGGACCCACCAGGTGTGTCTGGGAAGAGGTCAGGGAAAGCCAGGCAGCCTCTCCTTAACCCAGAAGGACCGAGGGCTGGGGCAGGGCAGGCCGGGAGAAGGAAAGCTCCCAGGACAACCTGAGGAGGCAGGAGGAGAGACAGGGGCCGGGAGGACACCTGGACATCAGCGTTACCCCGGCGGCGGGGACACATACTCCAGAAGAAAGCTGGCCTGGGCCCTGGGGGAAGGTTGCTGGCACAGGGGACCCCAGAGGGACCCCAGCTCCTGACGCAGGTGGAATGAAGGCCTGCGGCAGGAAGAGGGAAGTCTGGGGGAAGGACGAGTGGGGAGGTGGACGCTGCCTTTGGTTTAGCCCCGAGCCCGCAGTGGGCGAGCAGGTGCATGCATCTGGGGGCAGCGGGCGGCGCTGAACGTGGGCAGAAGCGGGGTCAGTGCTTCTCTCCTGGGCTCCTTGTCACCAGTTGCCCTCGTTGGCACACGGGAGCTTGTCACATGCCTCCTTGTGCACCCGCCCCTGTCACAGCGCTAGACGGTGTGTGTTTCTTGAGCTGACGCTAGACAGCCATCTGGCTTAGGGTGACTTCCTGGGAAGCCTTCCTTTGAACCTCGAGAACTGGGTGTCCTGTGGCCCCCTCAGGCCCGGGGGCCCATGTGGCGTCTGCCTTCATGCTTCCCAGCCAGGCTGCGGGCCACCATGGCCACCTTCTCAGCCTGAGGCCTCTGCCCAGCCCAGGGACCTGGTGCTGGCGGGAACCTCCGACCCCCAGGCCACAGCCCCGTTCGGTGGCCCCTCCCTGTATCACGGGCCTCCTGGATCCATTCCCATTACAAGCAGGAGACCGAGAGTTCCCGGTGTAAACATCACATATCAGAACATCTAACCTCTGCTCCCTTAGACCGCCCGCACCAGTGAGCGTGTGGCCTGATTTGTTGGCTTAAAAAGAAAAACAACAACAAAAAAAGAACAGGCCTCCAGTGAGCGGCGGAGCACGCGGAACATTCTGAAAGCTGCTGCTCATCAATTATTCATCCCCACTCAGGGAGCGATCAGTCCTAATGAATTGAATCTGATGCCTTCCGTCTGCGCGGCTCGCTGGGCCTGTTGAGATAGTGCGGTGCTGAGTGACAGTGTCTCCCAGCCCGGGAGGGTGCGTGCGTGCGTGTGTGTGTGTGTGTGTGTGCGCATGTTCCTAGAGGCAGAGCCCGCACACCAGCACCCAGGCTGCCTGACTTTCCTGCGGCAGGGATGTGGCGGGTATACCAGGGCTGTGCCCACACTCCCACATCCCACCCTCCACGGCTAAAAACAGCCCCGGCAGTGTTTTCACCTGTTTCCTCTCCAGACCAAGAAGCAGCACAGTGTGAGGAGCTCCGAGGACCTGTGCCCCTGCCACTCCCAAAGCTTGGGGCCCTCCGCGCCCTCCTCTCCCCGCCCCCTCCCCACCTCATTAGAATGCACTTTTGCAAAGAAGCTGTCAGAACTGATTAGGAGGCGCCCCTGATTAGCTGATGTGCTGCTCCCCAAGCTCCTCAGAGAGGAGGCAGAGGAGGTGCTGGTGTGGAGGGGGCACTGGCTGAGGTAGAAAGGGACGGGCCAGGGCAGCCAGACCCCACCCCTACTGCCTGGCTGGGACATGCGCCCCTCCCCCAGGACCAGAGCCGAAACCCCAGTGTGGGAAGGGCCAGGTGCAGGCGGGCGGGTACTAGAAGCTCAAGACCAGCTGGAAGCCCCGCATCTCTCTGGGGGGCGGGGGGGTTGGGGTCAGGGCTGTGCACAGGGCACGGCAAAGCCCATGCTGCTCCAGGACTTGGAAAAACGAGTGCTGACTCCATTTCTTCTGGGACTGCTTGTCTTCTGGTGAACTTTGAAACACTGAGCCAAGAGCAGAGCACACAAGATTTGCATGCACATGCATACACACACATGTGCAGGGACCTGTGTGCATGAAAGCAATACACGTACACATTGGCACACACCATATGTAGGTACATGCAACCTGTCCGCACCTGCACACACATGTCCATCGTACGTGCTGGCAGTTACATGTACACAAATGTTTCCTCTGTCCATGTCCTCCTGTGAGGCGAATTCCTGAGCCACAAACGGCAACTGCAGGTGATGCCATATGAGGAATTGCCCGGGTGAGGCAGCTGTGGCCCAGCCAGGTGGAGCGGTTGAGGGGAGAGAAGGCGAGGATGCTTTGAGGGCCTCCCGGACTGTGGTCCGTGGGGCAGTGACTGGCAGAGGCGAGCCAGGCTGCAGAGAGGTGAGTGTTTGTGTCTGGGCATCCAAAGAGATCGTTGGCAGGATGCTAAGAGGAGGGCACATGGATCCAACCTGGATTTGGTGTCTTTAGGGCGCCCTGTAGCTGAAAAATGATGTAGCATAAAAGCCTCTCCGGGCACACAGGCCGGATGTTCATTCACTCAGGAGACAGGGCTGCCACCGGGGTGCCTCGTCTCCATCCCCACAGCTGGGCCTCTCGGGGCCGCTGGAGCCAAAGCAAGAGCATGAGAGACTTTCCGCCCAGCTCACAAGGCCAGACCAGGGGAGGGTGCCAAGTCCTGTGGAGAGCAAATGGGAAAGAGACACACTGACATTCACACACGTACTCACCCTCATTCGTGATGCCCGCACTCCCCACCCACACGCAGCCTTCCCTCGCTGCTCAGGCCAGCCCCTGCCCCAGCAGGCGGCCCCTTCCACCCTAGTGAGTGGCACGCCGATGGGCAGCATCATCCCAGTGGCCAGACAGGGCTCAGATGCCGACGGTGCCATTCCTTCAGCGACGCTGGCCATGCCCTACTCCGGGCACTCGGGCCCTGTGCTGTGCGCAGGCACACAAGTCCTGCCCTCAGGAAGCCGCTCTGGGGGGAATGACACGAAAACGGAGTGGGAGGGAGAGTGCGGAGGGTGGAGTGAGCCGTGTGCAATCTTACTCAGGCGGCAGGGAGGCCTCCCTGAGAAGAAGTTATTTCTCCTAAAACATTAGACTTGCTACGGCTGCAAAACCGGCCTTGGGGCTTCAGAGATGACCTGGCCCACTGCCCCACTTTGCACAGATGGGGGCACCGAGGCTCGGGGGAGAGCAGGTGGTGAGGGGGCGACCTGCCCAGGTCATGGTGTAGAGCACAGTCTGGCCTGGCTCCCAGGCGAGGTCTTGCCCCACGTCCCCGCTGCAGGAAGGAGACGCTCCAACTCGCCAGCGCCCATCCTCTGCCAGAGGCTCCGTCTCAGAGGGATGAAGACAGAGTGTCCACGGGCCGGGCTGGCGGTCACTGCCCCCTCTGCCGCGCTCCCAGGCAGGGCTGTGAGTCTTGCAGTGGCCTCGCAGCCGCCTCACTGTGCCAGCACTTGTCCTGGCCCTGCCTCCCTCAACGCTGACCGAGTTGCCCTCTTGCCAAGAGGACTGTAGCCAGAGCAGGGCTTCTGGAGAGAAGTCCCTGGTGACGTGGCCCCCATTCGGGCTGCGGTTGGCCCTGCAGAGCCCCCGGCCATCACCACGGAGGAGTCAGGGCCCTGGCTGCTGGGGACTCTCTCCCAGGGGGAAATGGATACATTCAACCAGCCGTGTCCCCACTGAGTGCTGGGGAAGGCGCTGCCGGCTCAGATGAGAAAGCAGCCCACCCAGGCAGCTGCCCGCAGGCACCCCCCGAGCCCCACCCCTGCTCCTCGGTCCCCCCACTCCCCGCGCTCCCCTAGTATTCAGCGACAGCGAGGAGCCAGGACCCCTCTGTGTTCCCCTTCGGGCAGGGTGCCCCCACCTGCAGGCTCTCTGAGGGCCATCCCCAAGCCAGGGATTCTGTGCGGAACTCTGCTCACATTCCTCCCAAAGGGGACCCTGACCCCCCACAGCCTCGCTTCCCACCAGCCCACAGCAGGGAGTGGGGCCGGAGCCTGCCTGGGTCTCGGCGTCTGGCCACCTGCCCCCACAGGTCAGTAGAGGCTCTAGCCAGCCCCGGGGAACGTCTGACTCCCCAGGGGTGTTGGCAACCCTCCCTCGGTGGTCTGTCCAGGAGCCGCAGTGTTCCACTTGGTAACCCATTGGCGTCTGCCTCTTAGCGGTGTCTCTCTCTCTCTCCTCTCTCTCTCTCTCTCTCTCTCTCTCTCTCTCTCTCTCTCTCTCTCTCTCTCACACACACACACACACACACACACACACACACACTGTAAAGCGTGCATGTGCTCCCTCACAGTTCCCACGCCCCTCCCCCATGAAGTGCAGTCGCCCAACCAGAGGGCACTCTGCTCGGAGTCCAGCGCCTCCGTGTTCGGACGGTGCTCATCCAGCACTCACGGCGGCGGCCACGCTCCCGGGGCGCCTGTCTGCGTTGTGAGCGTGTGCCTGCCTCCCCGCGCCCACACAGACAACGCCCACGCAGAGCAGGCGCCTCATCAATATTAGATGACTCAGTTAATTAGTGAATTAACCTGCCTCGGAAACTTGTTCCGTTATCTAAATCCCTTCTTACTGAGAGAGACCGTTTTCCTCTTGCCTGAGCTCAGGCTTCCTGCCTAATTCCCATCCATCGTCTCCATCTGCCCTGTGCTCCACGGAAATGTTCACGGGACCACCCTTCCCGGAGCACAGCCCTGCAGGCTCGGCACCTCCCCGGCAGC